TGTGGGTTAGGGTTAGGGTGTGTGGGTTAGGGTTAGGGGGTGTGGGTTAGGGTTAGGGTATGTGGGTTAGGGTTAGGGTGTATGGGTTAGGGTTAGGAGGTATGGGTTAGGGTTAGGGGGCATGGGTCAGGGTTAGGGTATGGGTTAGGGTTAGGGTGTGGGTTAGGGTTAGGGTATGTGGGTTAGGGTTAGGGTGTGTGGGTTAGGGTATGTGGGTTAGGGTTAGGGGGTGTGGGTTGGGAAGAAGCGTGCACATAGCCTGTTCATGGCTCATTAAGCCCTGCTGTGTGCCTGATCCCCGTCCTGCTTCAGTCTTCACTTTCCTGGCATATCTGCTGCTCCCCTCCCTTCCACCCTCTGTTAGGGATGTAAAGTATTGGAGATTAAATCCAGAGCCTTTGTACTCAGCTACATCTCTGGCCCTTTTTTAATTTTTTATTATTTATTTTTTTTAAGTTTTTTTTTTTTTTTTCTGAACCAGGGATTGAACTCAGGTCCTTACACTTGCCAGGCAAGTGCTTATTCCACTGAGCTATCTCCCTGGCCTATTTTTAAAAAAGTTTTTAATGATCTGTAATCATAAAACTTTTGATAAACGTATTGTTTATGAGACATTTATTCATTTATGCATATCTGAAACACTGCATACTTGTGTTTTCTGTTCTCTAATACTGAACAAGATTACCAATATAGGGTCTCAGATATTTTTTGGTCCAAAGTGAGTTAGAAATAAAACATAGGGGGGTCCAGGTAGATGGCTCAGTGGAATAAGCGCTTCCCTGGCAAGCGCAAGGGCCTGAGTTCAATCCCGGGTTCCAAAAAAAAAAAAAAAGTCGATAGGTGGTTTTAGCTCATCATGTTTTGGGTTTGAAAGCAATTTAGCGGGGCTGGTGAGATGGCTCAGTGGTCTAAAGAACCTATTTAGAACAAGCTCAGCAAAGCATGGGGACTGCGGTTCAATCCCCCAGCACCACATGCCAGCCAGCCCTGCACACACACACACACACACACATATATAATAAAAATTTTTTTAAAAAAAGAAAGCAATTTAGCTCATCTCACAAGAAACAAAAGCAGGTGTTGAACCATGAAAACCCAATCAATTATTTTTAGCATGCCTCTTAATTTTTCTATCCCCTGGTTTCTTGTCTTCTGGGTGAGATTCTTGAACAGGTAACCATTTGAGGGGGTGTCAGTGATAGATAGACCCTGGAGGGAGAGTCAGTAAACAGGAAAAAGCAAATCCAGCCATAACGATAGAGACAGCCCACCTGAACTGTTCAGTCATGTACCCGTAGATCAATCCAACTATTGCAGAGAAAAGAATAATCTCCTGAAACATCTGTTCGGCCAGTTTCTGGCCCTTGTCATCCAATCATGTAGGCCGTGAGCCCAGATGTTCCAGCATGATTAATGGAGGAGGCAGGTAGCTGAGCAAGAGAAGCCAATACGGAGGGACCTGAGTTGCCAAAGCCTGGCACTGTGCGCTGCAGAGGGAGCCAGCAGAAGCCGTTAGCACTACAGCTGCGGCCCAGGAATTTTTTTTAAATTTTTTTATTTTATTTTATTTTATTTTTTGGCAGAACCAGGGATTGAACTCAGACCCTTGCACTTGCCAGGGAAGCGCTTACTCCACTTAGCCATCTTCCCGGCCCCATTTTTATTTTTTGATACAGGGTCTCACTAAGTCACTCAGACTGGACTTGCACTTGCAATCTTCATGAATTGGCCTCCCAAGTACAAAGATTACACATGTGCCATGGTGCCTGACTCCTCTCCACTTTTGGTGGAGGGTGTGCTCACTAAGTTGAGTGAGTCCTGGCCCAAACCTGACTTAGTTCTGGTCCCAGCCCAGAGTGCACATGACCACCTGGTTTGTTTGACGTTTTCCCCATTGCTCACCAGTCCTGGACACAGCCAAAGAGCAGGAGCCAGATGCTCACCCATCTCTCTTCCAGGTCACTACTATGTGCCACTTCTGAGAGCAGATGACACCTCTTCTCCTGTCATTGGGGAGCTGTGGTCCTCAGACCAGACAGCTGAGGTGTCCCCTTCTAGCCGCTATGGAGCTGACCCTCGGGACCCCATGCTGACCGTGAGAGCCTTCGCGGGGCCCCTGAGTCCAGCCAAGGTGAGTTCTGGGACCTTCTCAGCTACCCTGGGCGTCCTGATACAGCTATTCTTGGAGACCAAGTCATGTGGCCTGAAGTCAGTGCTGAGGGTGGTGCTGAGGCTTCTGGGCATGCTCTGCTGCTCTTGTGTGGCTGTGCTGGGTGTGTAGGAGCCTGAACAGTGTACACCTGGCTTGCCCTTGCCCTGTGTGCCTGTCTTATCCAAACTGTATGGTAGGGCCGGGGAGATAGCTCAGTAGAATAAGCACTTGCCTGACAAGCTCAAGGTCCTGAGGTCAGTCCCCAGTACCGTTTAAAAAAAAAAAGAGAGAGAGAAACTGTATGCTAGCCTGGTGAGGTCACTTCTGGACCCCACACCTCTTCTCAGATACTCCTGCACCAGCCACCTCTCCTAGAGGATCCACCTTGTCCCCAGGCTTTGCCTTTGGACTGTGCTCATCCTTAAAGTTTATGTGGGTCCCAAAAGGTGGAGGTGCTGGGTCAGAGGTTATGCATGCTTTTATGCAGGGTTGACACTGAAAGTTCCTTCTTAACTGTTTGTACATTGAGGTACGTAATGGCCTGGTAGACACTTGGAAAGAACAAGGCACAGTAGCATGCACCTGTAATCCCAGCTGCTTGAGAGAATGAGGCCAAGATCTTGTGTGAGACTTGGTTTCACTTTTAACTTTTTTTTTTTTTTTTTTAACATTTTTTTTTTATGTATGTGTGCGTGTGTGGCCAGCTCAGCCCACCAGGGGGCGGGGTTGGCTGGCATGTGGTGCTGGGGGATTGAACCGCGGTCCCTGTGCTTTGCTAAGCTTGTTCTAAATAGGTGCTTTAGACCACTGAGCCATCTCACCAGCCCGAGACTTGGTTTCAAAACAGGAGAAAAATAATCTTTTCTAAATGACTAGTTATGGGCTGGTGAGATGGCTCAGTGGTCTAAAGCACCTACTTAGAACAAGCTAAGCTAAGCAAAAGCACAGCGACCGCGGTTCAATCCCCAGCACCACATGCCAGCAAGCCCCGCCCCCTGGTGGGCTGAGCTGGCCACACACACACACACTAAATAAATAAATAAATAAATAAATAAATAAATAAAAAATTAAAAAAAAAATAAATGACTAGTTATTTGCAGCTATTAAAATGGCTCCAACATTTGGTGGGACAGTTAGGGTTAGATAAACTGCATTTAATATAAAGCTTGGGAGGCTCAAGAGAAAGCAGCACATACTTTCTCGTGTGATAGGAAGAATGGCATGTGTGCCACTTGAGGCAGCAGCTCCGTAGTGCTTGCTGTCCTTAGGGCGAGGCCTCGTGTTTGAGCTTCGGGGCCCCATGGCTGTGGGATCAGCATTGGTGCTGTGACACTGGTGGGTAAGCGTCCTGGGTGAGCCGCCCTGGCCACACAAATCTCAACATTTTTTTTCTTTATAGGCAGAAGATTTTCGAAAACTCTGGAAAACACCACCTCGAGAGAAAGCAGGCTTCTTCCACAGTGTCAGGAAGTCTGACCCGGAAAGAGGCATTGAGAGAGTAGGAAGGTACAGGAAAGCTGAGTCGGTTGCAAGGTTGTTTGCAATGTGTTTATGTGTTGAGGCTGATGATGAATGTCATTGCAACTGCTTCAAAATACGGTGCCAAAAAGGGTTTTCTGGGAGATCATGAAGATCATGAAGCCTTTGCATGAAGGACAAATTACTTGCAAATGTAGTTTATATTCCAGTGCACTTTGTGCAGTTTTAAGGTAAAGCAGTTCCTCCCCATTCCTTAGGGCAGTTCTCAGGGATCTTAATATTTTATAGAAGATGCTATGTGGACTATGTTTTCTTGGGGGGAAAAAGAAAACAAAACATTTAACATAGGCAGGGGAGTGGTTAGAAACTAGTGGAAAGGTCCTTAAAGAAATCCCACAACCACAAAGCTAGAACTGTGATATAATCAAACAAAATAAACCTGCATGTGCCCTCTGGATTTTTGGTTCCTGGCTACAGATGTGTGTTGGTAGAGGTAACCACTTGGCCTCACCCAGTGAGACTGGTGAGAGCTCTTCGGTGCTGACTCCTCAGTTGGTGAGTGTGATTGACTTCTCCAGACACGGCTGGGTCTCCAGAATAGCGAGGAAACAGTTCAGTTAGTCCCATGTTTAGGTCAAGTAAAATATACGCAAAGTTTTAGACACAGCTTTGCTGCTTGGTGGGCGCATGGCTGTCTTCTGTGCAGGCAGCTCTGTGGGTGCTCCTCTGCTTTCTTGGCTTTCACATGGGTTTATTCCTTACAGGGAGCTTGCTCATGAGCTGAAGATTCCCTGGGCAGAATACTGGGAATTTCTGGGCTGTTTTGTGGATCTGTCTTCCCAGGAGGGCCTGCAAAGACTAGAAGAGTATCTTACTCAACAGGAAATGGGCAAAAAAGCACAACAGGAAGCAGAAGAAAATGAAGCCTGCCTCCAAGACAAAGCCTTTGCCTCTGGTGAGCATGCATGGTCCAAGGTGGCACTGGCCTTACAGGAAGCATCCATTTGGGGCCCTATTCTTGCCTCTTGTGCTTTTATTGTACAAGTGGGCAGCTTCCCTTCAGGCCCATGTCAGGAGAAGGGCCTGGGTGTGTGGGTGTGTGGGTGTGGTATCTATGAGAGGTGAAGAGCAGGGAAGAGATGTGAAACAGGTTTACAGTTAATAAGGGGAAAAAATAAAAACAAATTTTTATAATTGTATTTGCACAAAGAAATATATTTGCATAATAATTATTTGCATAAGAGTTTATTTAATCTGGGCATGGAGGCTGAGGCAGGCAGGTTACTAAGTTTGTAGCCAGTTTGGACTAGTTCAAGGCAACTCTGTCTCAAAAATAATAGTAATAATGATGATGTAATAATAATACACATTTCCTGAACAGCACTTGACACTGTTCAGGCAAATGGCTGCTGTCTTAACAAGGAAACAACCTTTCCCTTAAGTAGGGACGGTGCTACTCCCCAGTGACTTCCTCATGGAGTTGTGGGAGCCAAGCAGATCGGAGGACTGGTGGGCTGGACTACTTCCCGCCTTCCTCCTCCTCCTTGTTTGTGCTTTGAGAGCAGATTGGCTGGTTCTTGCTGACTTGCACCGTGGGGTCCATAGTATGTCTGCTTTATTGCTTGCAGGCCATGAGAAGCAGTGCTGCAACTCTGTTTCCGTGGGGGCATTTCTAGATGGGGATGGTGATGCGAGCGTGGAAGAAATGAAAAATCAACAGAACGCAGCTCAACGCCATAGCCAGCCTGCGGCTGATGCTTTCAAGAACTTGGAGCCTGGTGCTAAGGCAGACGGTGTGGGATTCTCAGGCCCATGCAGCCCAGCCCCAAATGGGCTCTGCTGTCCGCCGACTCCCAGCCAGGCCCTGTGTGGGAAACCAGAGGCCCCTGGAACAGAGCAAGCCCTTCTGTCCTGTGTCTCTGGCTTGATGGTTGAGTTTGATAAACTGAATTTGCAAAATCAAGGTGATAGCCTTCCCAAGACACCAAATACAGATAAGAAAACTAAAGATAAGAGAAAGAACACAATAGAAAATGATTGGTTGACACCTGCCCTTGCTGCAGACAAGCTTGGAAATAACCAGACAGGGGCAGAAAGTGATGTGTCAGCTGTGATGGCTATGATGTCCTTGAATTCCAAGTCCCAGGCTGTGTCAGGCCCTGTGACCAACCCGACCAACAGGCCCTTCCTTTGTGGGTAAGTGTGGGACCCTGTGTGCAGTTCTTTGAAGCCTCCTGTTTTCCCAGTGTGATGTAGGTGGCAGGTTCCTGTCTCTGTCATGCTTGGGTAGGTGAAGCAGGGTCTCCAGCTGGGGAGGGCTACTTCTAGTGTTTGCTGTCACCAGGAAGTGAGAGGCCTCCAGACTGTTGGATAGGCCCTAAGAATGTGTTTTATGTTAGGGAACCACATGCAGCAGGGCATACAGCACTGCAATGGGGACCTGGCTGTGTCCTGGAGGTGACCTTGCCCCTCTTGTGCTCCCACTATAGTACAAGGGGCCTACACCCCTCAGCTGGTCCTTCAGCCTCCAAATGGTTTGGTTTCTCTACCCAGGCCAGATTGATTCTCACACACCATTCTGATCATTTGCTTGATGCCTGAGTTAAAAATGCAGTGAGATAAGCTGACCGTGGTGGTGTACATCTGGGAGGCTGAGACAGGAGAATCACACATTTGAGGTCAGCCTGGTTTTCATAGGAAGAACTTGTCTCAAAAAATATATAAAAGAAGGGGCCGGGGAGATGGCTCAGTGGAGTAAGCACTTCCTTGGCAAGTGCAAGGGCCTGAGTTCAATCCCCGGTTCTGAAAAAAAAAAATGTGTTTTAATTGAGGCTGTTTCTGCCTGTTCTTGTGTCCCTTTGTTGTTCATTCTAGAGAGGAGCCATGCAAGCTGGACCAGGATGTTCTGGCAGCTCTGCAGGGCGTGGATGTCGACCCTGGTCAGTACCCGGCTCTGCATCGATGGAGGAGTGCTGTCCTGTGCTACTTGCCTGCAGATAGGCAGAGGTATGTGTGTGTGTGTGGGTCAAGAGTTGGGTCTGGAAGGCCAGGTCACTTGTGGGTGTGCTGTCCCACAGCTGTACCCCCAGGTGGGCTGATGCATGCTTTGTCCCCAGTGGACAGGTGTCTAGCAGGACAGACACAGGGCAGCCATGGTGCTGTGAACCAAGGGTACAGGGCCAGTAACTGGGCTCAAGAGCAGCCTGGTGTTGGTTTTCTGTCCAGACCCCGCACTGGGTGGCCCTCCCAGCCCGACACTGTCCTGCGTTCCTGCCCATTTTCAGGAATCTCCTGCTGGCTGCACTGGCCCGCCTGTGTTGAGTGATCTTTTTATTTCTCTCCAGTTGGTCAAGCCCTGCACTGAAAGGAAAGCTCAAGTGCCAACTGCCAGACCTCAGCGTCCCCCACAGCAGCAGACCAGGGCGAAGGGCTCCAGCTGTTGGCAGCCCCGGAAGGCCTGGTCACTCCCCTGGTTCCCCTGGTCTGGGCAGCCCAGGGCCTTACAGCCCAGTGCACGGGCGCCTCCTGCGCCGCACAGGGTTCCCCGGCACCCAGCTCACAGTCCTGTAGAGGACACGCATTCCCTCCTTTGTTTCAAAGGAAGAGGGAGATGTGCTTATTGGGAAGATTTCAAGATTTTCTAAGTAAGGTACAACCTGCACTTTCAGGGCACAGGGATTTTAGAAATGCAAATATTCTACATAGAAGTAAAAATCAGTGATGGCATATAGAAGAAGCTGTCAGTAACCACCTGAACTACAGATCTTGTGTACTGTCCATGTGGCAGTGACTTCAGGTGCAGTCAGTGGTTTTGCCTGCAGTGCCCCCCCCGACTCCACCCAGGATCCACACATGGATGGGCTGCATTCAGCCGCCTTCTCCCCGACCAGCTTGAGAGGATGCTGATGGCACCTGTGGCTTCCCACCTGTTGGTAGTGGAGAGCAGATGAACTTAACTGTTGCATTCTCAGGGTTGGAAACTTTACTGACCAGAAGAAGCTGGGGGTGGGTGCCGCACACCTGTGATCCTCGCAGTTGGGAGGGTGAGATAGGAGGCTCACCATATGTCTCAGGCCAGCCTGGGCTACACACCATTCAAGGCCATTCTGGACTGCATAGCAAGACCCTGTCTCTCAAAAACAAGACAAAAGAGCATCGTGCCACTTCTGAGAGTCAGTTGTGAGTCATTTCCACCCCTCTAGCCTTCTCCCAGGCACTGGCCCTGGGGAGTATTGGGGGTGTCGCTGTGTGCCTGCTGCCCTGTTCCCTGGGGGAGAGTCGTCTGGGACACTGAGGTCTGGTGCAGAAGAAGCCCCACACCCACCCCACCTTAGCCAGCCCAGTGCCTTCTGTCAGTTAGGATTTTCCAGAATTTAATGCTTGAGAATATAAAATGATAGTGCAAAAAAGACTTTTTCTTTCATAAAAGTTTTGAATTGAAACGTGCTTTTTAAAAGCTTATTTCTTGTGATGAACGGGTCAAACATACTGGAATTGAGAGTTCATCCTTAAAACTCACATTTTGTTTTCATTTGCTGTGTAGCAGACAGGATCTGAATGTAAGACAGAAATAGTTGTCATTCTAAGAACAATTGCATTTTTAAAAGCCTCTTCCTCAGAACATGGAGATTATACTTAGAGATGATCTCTTTGAATTATTACCTTGTCTTGTATGTTGTTGTAAATACATACATAGCAGTTAAAATACTGTTCTTGCCTTGGTTTTGTAAATGCCCATTCTGTGAAGGTAGGCCTCTTTGGACAGTTTTCTGCTTTCGCAAGATAGGGCAGTACATATTCCCCTAAACACTGTGTTATCTGGGTGGTGTTTTCTTTTAAAACCGCTTTGCGGAATAAATTATTTTTACACCATATTCTCACAAAACACCCTCACTTGTGTCTGGGCATAAGCCCCTTTTTAATAAACCTGGGGCAATATTTTGACGAACTAGTGGTACATTATTTGACAGTGGTTTATATGCTGTTTGAGACAGTGTCATGTCTGGGCTCCAGCAGATCCCACCTAAGCCTGAGTGCTAGGGTTGCAGGCACTGCACTGCACCCAGCTTACTGGCTGCTGATTTTGCCCCTTTGTTTTCTTACATGGTTGTGGAAGTTTTTTTTTACCCCCAGTATCGGGGATCAAACTCAGGACCTTGTGTTTGCAGAGCAGACACTTAGCCCACTGAGCTGTCTCCCTCGCCCTAGTTGTAGAAAATTTGTGTCTAATAAACTACCACGCATTCTACAGCTGCACTTGGCAGTGGGAGGCCTTTCTGCAAGGTTAATGGTGTGTGTCTACTTCAGAGGTAATATCAAACACTCCGAATCCCCACTGTTTTAGGGAAAACCAGCCAGGGTGCTGCTAACTGATGGGCCCACCCACTATACCAGCAGAGACCACACCCAGAACCATCCATGGCTGTGGCAGAGGTCAGGGCAGCATGGGCCTCTTCTGTTGATGACACTTGCCCCTGTCCAAATCACATGTGCTTTCTGGCTTACTGGTCATACACTTTCCCCGCTGTTTCACAAGGAAGTATTTTGGAATAAACAGCACAGTGGTCATAGGGAGCCTGACAGAGTTCACCCAGCAGCGATGGTGGCGGTGATGGCAGCGGCGCAGCAAAGACACAGAAAAGATAAAAGAGGCTTTTATTGCAGACACGGGAGGACCGCAAGGAAAGTACACGTGGAAGCCCTTGGGCCCAAACAGTGGAGGGCAGCTGTATTTGTAGGTTCCTAAAGGGGATGGGGCGGGGATGGGAAGATGGCTCAGTAGAATAAGTGCTTGCCTGGCAAGCACAAGGGCCTCAGTTCAATCCCCAGTTCCGCAAAAGAATAGAATAAAGGAGACAGGGCCTTGGGAGGTGAGGTGATGACATGAGGGTTCACTGGTTACCTTACTGGGAGGTGAGGTAGATCATCTTGGTGCGCCGGATGAAGGGAATGCTGGGAAGAAGAAGTAGGTAGTTGCTTTGGACTTGTCACCTTGTGGAAACACCATGGTGATTCAGCCAGTTCCCACATGGGCTGGACCCATCATTCCCATCTTTGGTTTGTTATAAAGGGGCCTGACTCTCAGACTGCTTCCTGCTGAACGGGGGGGGCGTCATGATGGCGATGGGTTGGACCCATGTAGAAGCTAGTCCCAGGCATGTCAGTCAGGGCGAGAATCTCTGGTAGTAAAGGCACAAACCCTGGATTGGAGAAACCTGGACAAAAGTTTAAAAAGGCAAGGTGCTATGAGTAAAAGTATTACTATCGTAATTAGGGGGCCCCGAGGAGGGACCACATAAGGAGCCCATGATCCAAATGTGTCACCCCACCAGGATCACGGTGAGGAAGCGGGATTAGGATACCTTAGTTCTTGGCGCTTTTGTTCGAGGCAGTTACGAAGGCATTTTACCTTGTCCATGACTATCCCAAACTCATTTACAAAGTAGCAGCATTCTCCACCCAGCATGGCACAGGTCCCGCCCTTTTCAGCTGTCAGGACATCTAAAGCTCAGTGGTTTTGGAGGGCAACAGCAGCAAGACTATTAATTTGTTTTTTTTTTTTTTTTTTTTACAGAACCGGGGATTGAACTCAGGCCCTTGTGCTTGCCAGGGAAGCGCTTATTCCACTGAGCCATCTTCCCGGCCCTTAATTATAATGGCAGGCGTTACCTATTTTTTGGTGTAAGTCGAGAGCTGGTGATAGAGATTTGTAGTATAAACAGCTGTGCCTAGTCCTCCTGCCCCAAGCCCCACTCCAAGAGCTGAAAGGATGCTCAGCCCAATGAGGACTGGGATATGAGCAGCTCTTTTTGTTTCAGTGAGATGGTTTTTTGGTGGTTCAGACAAGAGACGTGTTTCTATAGTGTATTATGAATTTAAAGTCATGGCTGGCACCTAAAGGACAAGTGTACAGGATCTTGTCCATTTTGGGGGAAGGGAGGTATAAGCTCCAATTTTACATCCTATAAACCAACCTTTAGGTGGGCAAACTGCTGTGTCTTTCATGTGTGTGATGTACTCAGCACAGTGGGGAAGATCTTATAATTGAAGTGAGTAGTTTTGAGATTGAGAGATCAGACAAGATTAGCTGACCATTGCTGAGAGTCATGAATGAGTAGGGGGCCTACTGTGGCAGGATTAGGTGGGAAAGATAGATGAGAGATATTCCAGAGTATGGGAGCTGCCATGTAGAGGTCTTGCCTGTAGGGGATGCAGAGCCTGCATTCTGTGAGATTGGAGGTGTGTGAGAGAGAGTCATAGGCATGCGACAGAAGTTGAGGGATAGGAGGAATGGCTTTCTGTTGTAGAACATTTGAAGGGTAGTCTGTGACCTCAACAACAGGAAGTGGAGATGTAAGTTGAGTTTTTATGGTCATAAAACTGCCATAAGGTGTCTGCCATGTATTACCAGCATTACGGAAATAGAGTCCCCAAGTTCTGCCCAAGAGGAGTTCAGGGTGTGTTGCATTGGGGATTGAAATTGTTACCTGTCTGGCATCAAACCAACCTACAAACCAGCCTGAGATAAATGGGTCTGCATCTTTTAAGATTTGTCCGTAGTTATTTATGCCTATGGTTTCACAGCCCTCATTGTCACGATAGAAGACATTGGCACTGACACATTTTCACTAGTGGAGTGAGGGAGCTCTTGGAGTGATATATAGGCTATCCGGGTAACAACATATTCCTAGAGGTGAAGTACATTTTGAACCCGGTCTCCACTCTTTGTGTGTGCCACCTTTTCCTCTTCCTGTCCTTTCCCAGGTATCTCCCACATCTCAAGTTTGTTGGATTGGTACTAGCCAACAATAAGGGATAATGGAAGACAACCTTGGGATTAGAGGGAGTAAAATTGTAAGAACCTATTATGATCTGACAGAGAGAGTGTTGTGGTATAAATGGGCTATATAGCTGAAGGTGGATTAGAGCGTGTTGGGAGTAAGAAGAGCATGAAACCCAGGAGCTGGAACATATTTGAGAGTAGTTGGTTCCTAGCAACCTTATGGCAGTTGAGTGTTGGAATTCCAAAAATTGCTGCAAAATATAAGAGTATGAGAGCTACCTTTTGTGGTACCTGAGTCGTCTGGGCAAACGGTCCAGAGTCCAACGGCGAGTGAGATGAACAGCAGGGAATACAGGATCAGGAACCAGATGGGGAAGCAATGCATGAGTTAGTTTTTTTGAGTCCTTGGTTAGGCGGAGGTGCGTAGGTGACAGCAGTTGGGAAGACCACTCCAGAGGGGTGGGGTTGTCTGGTGGAAGGGAGTCATCTGGGCACTGTTTGGCTCGAGTAATGTGGAACCAGGAGGGCAGGCTGGCGACTTTTATCTCTCTTGGTGTTGAAAGTGTGACCAGGTGAGGGCCTGTCCACGCAGGATCCAATCCTGTAGGCTTAGAGGACTTAAGATATATGAAGTCTCCAGGAAATATAGATGGCACCGATTGAGAGGTATCTACCGCTTGTGGGAGGCAGGTGTCTGCATGTTGTCACAGCAAGTACCGGAGAAAGGATAAAACGGGAGCATAATCAGCAGTGGGAGGGAGGTTATCAGGAGTGGGGAAGCTATGAAGCAGAAAAGGCCTACCATACATGAGCTCAAATGGACTTAGGAAGGTGGGGGCCCTGGGGAGTGCCCTAAGTCTAGTTAGAGCTAAGGGAAGGAGCTGAGGCCAGGGCTGATGTAGCTCTAAAATGAGTTTTGTGAGATGAGACTTTAAGAGTCCATTTGCCTTTTCTACTTTACCAGAGGATGTGGATGGGATGGTATATGTAGGTGCCAAGTGATGTTAAGGCTCGAAGCTACCTGTTGAGTGATTTGGGAAATGAATGCTAGGCCATTATCTCACTGAATAGTCTGGGGGAGCCCAAATCTGAGAATGATATCCTGTATGAGAACTCTAGTGATTACATCTGCAGTTTCTCGAGTAGTGGGAAAGGCCTCTATCTACCCTGAGAAAGTGCAGACGAAAGTGAGAAGATACCTCTGTGTCTTGTAGTGAGGCATGTGTGTAAAATCTATTTGCCAGTCTTCTCCTGGGGTGTGTCCACGGAGCTGATGGGTTGGGAAAGAGGGGCGTGGTAAATGTCCCTGAGGAGAAGTCTTAGCACAAAGCTGACAGATTTGAGTTACCTGGCGAATGATAGTTTTTAAGGAAGGGTGTGTGGTGATAGGAGCTAAGAGTTTATATAGAGCCTGAGTGCCGACATGAAAGCAACTGTGTAGATTGGTGACAATGGCTACTGCTTGTTGGTTTGGGAAAAGGAGTTTTGGCCGTTGGAAAATCCATCCCTGTGTGTTTTGATGATAGGTTTGTGGAGCAAATGTAGTTGTTCTGGTGAATATTGGGGTGAGGGCATAGATTTTTGGATGATAGGAATAAGGTGAGAAGGATATGGCTGTTGAGCAGCTAATTTGGCTTGTGTGTCAGCAAAGGCACTACCCTGAGCAACTGGGTCTGACGGAGCCTGGTGTCCCCTGCAGTGAATGACTGCCACCTATTTGGGGAGCTGTGCTGCCTCTAGAAGTTTAAGAATGAGAGGTGCATTGGTCATAGGAGTGCCCTGGGTGCTGATAAATCCCCTTCCTTGCCAGATAGCAGCGTGAGAGTGGAGAATACTAAATGTGTACCTAGACTCTGTGTAGATGTTTATAGCTCTGTCTTTGGCTAGTGTGAGGGCATGTGTAAGGGCGACGAGTGCTGCCTTCTGTGAAGACATCCCAGGTGGTAATGGGCTGCTTCTATTACAGCTGAACCATTTACTATGGCATATCCTGCCCTCTTTTGGGTGCCTATGTTTGTTGAGCTACCATGTATAAACCATGTGTCAGAAGCTGTGGGAAGGGGAGTGCTGTCTATGTGGGGGAAGGGAGCTGGGGTCATCTATAGGACCTCAACACAACTATGTTGGGGAGCCTCATCAGAGGTGGGGAGTAAAGTAGGAT